TTTTTTAATTGAACTCATTCCTCAGATTTTCTTTCCTATCATTTCACAGAAACTTCTCTTGTCAAGGTCACCCATGAACATGTCAAATCCAGTGGTCAATATTTTCAGTTAATTTAATCAACCCAGCAGCTGTCTATACAAGGTCAGTCACTTCCTCTTTTTTAAAAATACTTTCTTTTCTTGGCTTGCAAGTTACACATTATTTCTGGATATTCCTTCTCTACTTGAAAAAAATAGTGTAATGCTCCAGGATGCTCTCCTTGGACTGTTCTTCTGCTTAAGGCACACTCATCTCCTTGAATAATCCCATCCAGACTTGTGGCTTGAATTTCCCTCTATATGCCAACGACTTCTACAGTTATTTTTTCTGTAGAATGGACCTTTTCCTCAACTCCAGATGTACAGATCTATCATCTCACTCAACATTTCCTCTAGAATATCTAACAAGCATCTCAAACTTAATGTACCATAAAACCAGCTTTTATTTTTTCCTTCTACACCTGCCTTTGTCTCTCCAGTTTCACCCTTCTCCAATAAATGACAATTCCATTTGTCAGTTGCTCAGGTCAAAATGCTTGGATTCATTCTTGGCTTCCCTTTTTCTTACATCTTCTTCATTATCCTGGCAGCAAATACTGTCAGTTTTGCCTTCAAAATATATCTAGAATCTGACTATTTCTTATCGTCTCTACAGCTACCACCTTATTCCGCTGCACAGTTTCCTAGATTGCCCTGACTTCCACTTTGCTTCCCTACAGTGTGTCTTCCATAGCTTTCAGAGTGGTCCCTCAGGCTTGTCTACATCTTGTGGTTAAAAAAAAAAAGAAAAATGTCACCAGGACTTGATCTATTATTCCATTTGTCAGTTCTATTTGTCCCTGCTTGACTTTATTTAGTATGGGAGCTCTTTCTATATTATGGACATGATGGCAGCTGGGAGCCCTAGACTTATCTCTACTCAGTTTGGCAATTCCAGGAAAAGGAAATATTTCTCCCTAAATTTAAATGTTAATTCAAGGATGATTGACTAACTTTGCTGGAATCATGTGTCATTCTCTGAACTAATCAAAGTGGCCAAGGGAATAAGGTACTTTGGCCATCCCGGGTCATGTGCCTACTCTACTTTCTGGGCTGGATTGGGGGCACCATCATTCACAGCCTCATTGAGACAAACTTGAACAGGAGCAAGAAAACCACAGAAATCACAAAAAATTTAGGACAGACAAAAAATATAGTTAGATGCTATACTTTAATATATTATATTTGTTTGCTTGAACTGAGTTATTTAATTCCTTTGATCCTATTTCTCCATTTAGGGACAATAACACTTCACAGGATTGCTGCGAGGTTCAAATGATTTTACACATATGAAGTTGCTTTGTAAAAACTGAAATTATAGACCTTATGATGTAAATGTTAGCTATTATTAAATTGAGATTAGACCATCAGAGGCAGATAAAATAGGGATAGATACAGAGGATGACCTTCTGTAACTTATAAAAATGGCATAGATGTGGACAAGTCAACCAAAAGATTAACACATCAAACAGAGAGAGAAGAATAAAAATCATCTCAAAGACCAAGCTGAATAGGATTGTAATGAGAATTGAAAATCTGTTTTTAGGTGTTGAAAGAGTCACTTTGGATATAACTTGTTTAGGGTATATACTATTTCATAGTACTAGCTCCCTTAAATTGGAATTTTTTTTTGCTTCCGTATGAATTGAACAATAAAACATAAAAATAGAAATGATATAAAATGAGGAAATAAATCAAATAAATAACAGAACTATGTTATATTGAAAACAACCATAATACAATTCCAGTAAGTACTAAGCAAACTCTTTTGAATTAAAATAAATGTAAATGATTAGTAAATCTTTATATGTCTAGTTGACATGGTTGGATTTCCTTCAGAAAGGGCAGGATGGAAAGCTAGAGTCCTTTCTGAGGGTTTCTGCTAGAAGAGGGCAATCAGGGATAGATTCTTCTCATTTGTACCAGAGATTTGTGCTTCAGTATTCAAGGGAACAGTAATAGAGGCCGCCAGGGCCAGTGGCTCCCTTACTGGGTTAACAGAGACATAAATATAGCTCATACAAAACAAACAAATAAAAACTAATAGACACAGACAACATCATGGTGGTTACCAGAAAGGGGGCTAGGGGTGGGAGGTAGGTAGAAGAGGGTAAAGGGGGACAAATATACGGTGACAAAAAGATACTTGACTAGGTGATGAACACACAATGTAATATACAGATGGTGTATTATAGAATCATACACTTGAAACTCGTATAATTTTATTACCCAATGCCACTCACTCCAATAAATTTAATAAAATTAAAAAAAGAATACACTGAAAAAATATAGCTTATACAGCTCACCCCTATGTTATTAATAAAATTATGTATCCAAGCCAACCTATTCAAGTCTTTTTTTTGCGGGGGGTGGGGTGCTTTATGTCAAAAAATAGTCGCTGATCAAATTGTTTACTATATGATTCTGGGCAAGATAATGACCTTTTTCTAGAGATGATTTATAATGCAACATGGAAATGTTCTGCTGAGGCATGCACAAAATGCTTTAGTAATAGAGAATAGAACAATGAACTCTGCCTGAGGTTCTCTGGGAGGGTTTCCTTAAAGACAAGACACAGGAGAAGGGTGGTGATTAAAATGAAGAGGAGATTCTAGATAAAAGATAAGTGGGCATAGGGAAGAGGTCTTTCAAGAGAAAATAGTGTGAACTAAGGGGCACAGAACTGAAAAAAAGATCTGACATAATAGTAAATAGCAAGAAATTCACTGAAGTCGAAGCATAGACTGCATGAAGAAGAGAGGTGGAAGCTTTGGGGGCTGAATTAGTGAAGGAGTTTGCATTTCATTCTGCAGATTATGGAAAACCAGTCTGTGTTTACAAGCAAAGGGTGATAAGATTAACATTGTAACAAATGATGGCAAAGGAAATAATATCATTCCCTTTTAGCTTGCTGTCATTATATTTAAAAATTTATGTTGAGAAGCTTACCTTAATAAAGCAAGCAGGTTCTCAGGATCCCTTGGGGGTAAGAGGACATTAGCCTTCTGCATCACCCCAACCCTTGCCTAGGAGGGCACGGGCAGTTCATCTAGGAGCTCATTGTCCCAGAGGAGAAGAATGGATCGTTCAGGCAGAGGCATACTTGGAGAAGGTAGTTATACATATCGCTTTTCTACTCTTCTGATTTTGCACCAAATATTTTAATATTATGAAAATCATAGGTGAAGTATAGATTGCCACGATCCTCAGAGGTAATTCAGGTACTTCATGTAAAAAAGCAGATTCCATACGTGTTGTCCAGATTGTCCAAGAACTGAGACTTCTCAAAACATATTCTCTGTTGCAAAGAAGCCCAAAGGGATGTGGATTCAAATAGTTTTTCATGTGTGTTCCTTACCTATATGTAAAATGTACTGTGAAACTCGAATACAGTAGTACATCCTTATAGGCAAAAAGACAAATAAAAATAAATGTGCAAGAATGTACAAAAACAAAGCACTAGAATTCTGATTCCAAGGAAGATATAATCCGTCCACCCAAGTGGATTCACTGTAATCTCCTTTTCTTCTCTATGAATAAACTACCTCATGAGACACTTCACTGCATTTCAGAGATTTAAACAGAACCAAGATACTCTGTTTTCCTACCAGCCAGGCCATCCTCTGTTGTTTCTCATTCATTTATTTACTCATCCATTTTACCAACGAATACTTATTGAATGACATAAATATTTGTTGTGTGTGTAGATACTGGTGAGAAGATAAAGTAGATCTGTTTTCATAGAACTTCTTGTCAAGTGAGGGAGAAAAAAATCTTAAATAAGCATTGAAATGAAAGTGCAGTTACTGCCATCTGGAGGCCAGCTTAGGCATCCCTGCCACCTGAGAGGTAGATAAGATGGATGGAATGCCCCAGCCTCCTGTCCTGTGGGGTCGGACGCTCCATTCTACACACATCTGGGGCTGTCTCATGATCTCGGCTGCTGGCTTTTCCTTCTCAGTGGCAAAGCAGTCATTGCTTTGTGTCCTTTTTAAAGAAGATATTATCACATTCCTTCCGCAATCTCCATAGACACTCATTCACATAAAGCCTTTGTACATATGGCTGGCTTTAATAAAGACTACAGGTAATGAGGACAGCCCAGGGCATGGCTGCCCAGCAAATGGATATGAAAACGTATTTGGATATTCATGGTTTTGAAAGTTCATTCAACCACGCCATTTTCTCACTTCAATACTCTCTCTTCAACACTCAGCCTTCTACCCTCTAACTGATTCCTCCTTCCTCCGCTGTCTTTCTCTCCTTTCTCTTCACTTCTGTTTCGACCACTGCTCAGAAGCAAGCAAAAAACCAATCACCACAAAAAACAAACACAATGACCGATAAACAAGTCCAAACACCTTTATTCTTTCATGAAGTCTAATTTTTTTTTCTTTTATCATTAGGGCCCCCGAAGATACTCATTCTCTCTGAGTTATACCTTCTACTCCAAAGTTGTATCTATGTATTCTACTCAACATAGACATTCTCTATTCTAAGAGAAATTCTGTTCCCATCTCTTAAGATATATATTGCTAGTCGAGGATGCATGCTCTGACAGAAAAGTAGGAGGTACAGTAAGTACAGTACTAGAACAGAGGACTGGATTTTTTTTTGAAAGACAGCTTCTTAGAGAAAGAATAACATTTCTGAAGACTGCTAGCTAGACACAAAGTGGGGGAAGAGCATTTCAAGCAGGGGAATGACATATGCAAAGGTCTATAGATGGGAAGGAGCTTGTTACACTGAAAAAATTGAAAAGAGAAGAGAATGGCTAGACACTGAAGAGAAGGAGAAGATGAAAGGGATGAGAATGGAGAGGTTAGCGGGAGCCAGATCTGATGGGACCGTGTAGGCCACGTGGCTCCAGTTCTTAAGTTCCTGGCCCTTTTCTAACCAATAAAATGACTTCATGAATTGTTTTTTTCTGAACCTCGAGTTTATTGATTTTCGAAACAGAAACAGTTGTGCCTAAGCAGGCAAACTTGCGCGCGCGCGCGCACACACACACACACACACACACACACACGTGAATGTTACATAAAGCACCTTCCCTGAGGGCCATATAACTTGGCATTATTATGAAGTCAATCCTATAGCTGTAGACATGATTCTGGGTCAGCTGGGTAATTAGCTGAAAATTATCTTCATATTTATTTTCTCTCTACAGGAGTGTTTCCAGCACAGAAACCCAGAATATGAGACTTTTTGTAAGAGCTTAAAAAAAAAAAAAACATTGCCTGCCAGCAGCACATGAATTCTCTATCACTTTTCAGGATTTGTATCTGTCCAGCTGACACACCCATTTTCCCCTGAAGAGCAAGTAGCTTCTTACTCTGCTGTGTGCCTTATTACCGTCAAGGCATGACAGGAATAAATCTAAGTTCTGTTTACCACCAGGGTAAACTGCCCGCCTATGGCATACTTTAGAAAGCCATTTTTAGGGGTTCAGTATGTCCCTAAGTATTTACAGGTATTGAAAGTGACATGTACATTGTAGACATTATGCCCACTGCTTACTGCTGATGTTAATCTGCCTCATAGCACTTTGTACATCACAGTGTATTCATGTATTCATGATAATGTTTATTCTGTTATTTTCTGGAAATAAATTATTTTGTTTGCTCTCTCAATTCTATCTACACAGAGATACCTTACTTTCCTTTTTTACTCTTAGTTTTCAACTAATAACCATGCCTTTTAAGCTGTCTTTTTATTGAAAGTAATAAATTATGACATTCATCTGCAGGTGGCTCATCTTTGCATGAGAATCACCAGCTTACACAGTAGTACGCTCACAGTGTTGAGTATATAGGAATTCATTTTAGTAGCAATAACATTCGTTGACTTTAGAAAGAAAACTTTCCATTTATAGTTACTTGCTAGTCTTACACAATCGTAGCTTTCTATGTGGTATAATACTTTAAAATTAAGATATGTTAAAGTATCTTCAAGGAAGTAGTATCTTCTGTGGTTTTTCCTCAAAATGAAACCATTCACTTTGCTAAGATTGAGTTTGTTGGAGGTACTAAGATTCCATTCGGTCATCCTGTGAGTCAACGCTTATGGTAGAATCTTGGCTACCGGTATCAGCAGTTTCATAGGATTTTTGGTCTTTGGCGAAGTTGATGAAAACCTGATTTTTCAAGGGAAATAAAGCCATTAATGCTTGATAAACCAAAAGAAGAAATAAGGTTAATTCACCATGCATGCACACACACATACACATACAAAATAGGAGAGTAAATAAGAAAACTAGATTTTATAGGGGCATGCTCATACATATATACATATACATCTACAACTATAATTACAGTTATAATCACAGAGAAATATAAAGCTGTAATTGAATATCTACAGCCACGTATCGATATCTATATGATCTATATCAATATCTCTATCAAGTATAAACAAGGAGTTCAACCCAAGCTCTTATCAAATGCTTGTATGATGATGTGGAGAGAAATTTCACTAGTTTCAAGAATTAATGCACTAAAATAAAATTTGGATAGAAAGCCCATATTAACATTATGTTCAGTAAGCCAATTATTTAATAGACAGATCTTTTGTTTTTAAAAAATTATTAAAATTCATTAGTCATAGATTTATCTAGAAATATTGAGAACCTATTTTGTGTCAGATATGGTGCTGGTAGCTGGTTACAAGTCAAAGGCTAAATATTTAGTGTTGGAAAGCCATGCTTGCTTAAAAGCCCCCATAGAAAATTATCCGTAAATTGCAGCACCATATATTGACTCAGAGGTCCCTGAGGCCTCACCTTCAGACCCACTTCAGGGGCAGAGGCAATCAAATATTTTATACATCAGGTTGGTTGAGCTATGCAAAATTAATACACTGCAAAGATGATGAAGGATGCCCCGTGAAGCCTCGAGTTATTGAGTATAAATGTAATTAAGACGTAATGTGAGTAAAACAAAAGAATTCTGCATTTGCCACTTTGGTTGCCTGAATCTAGTGGATCTAAAAGTCTGACACCAAATTCTCCCTAGAAACTCCCATTGTATTCTAATCCAGAAAGCTAATCCATAGAAATACTATTCAAGAAACACATCAAGATCCACATAACTCACAAAGTGTCATCCCACTAAATCTAGTACTCCTATGCTATACAACTGACATTAGTATATTATTGCATACCAATTATAATTGAAAAAAAAAACTCATTGAATTGTACAATGTAAATACAAACAACTAATTGTCGATTATATTTTAATAAAGCCAGAAAACAAAACAAAACTAAACTAAACTAAACAAACAAATAAACAAAGAAACACACCAATGAAAAAGTAAGAAAAGTGTTAAAAGCTATTTGTTTTACAGGTGAAAATAATGTTTTTTTGCTTTACATAGACATATAACTTTATGGATATAGATATCTTGTAGATATGAAAATTTTTCTTTCCTTCATTAAAAGTAGTTAATTCATTTAATATTTTTTCCTAACATCCCAAAATGCACTTAGAAATGAATTAAGCTAAGATTTTAAGGTACGAGATTAGATATTGCTTTGACTGAAAACAAATCAAATGTCAATGAAAAGAAATAGAATGTGTAATTATATGTAACATTGTGCATATAGATCCTGGTGTCCAGCTTACCTCTTCCAGGGTAGTCTGACTCACTAAGAAATTTGTGATATTTAAAGCAGTCTTGTTGGTTTCCAGCACATCAAAAATGTTTGCAACTCCTCCTGCCGTGACTGGTACATGATACTCTAGCATGCTGAGGTGCTGATCCTGTGGGAACCAAAGGGAAAAAAAATGTATTTTGCAATGTCAGGTAACTGACTTGCCTAGACATACTTGAGTAAGAGCCAAAAAATAATACTGAAGTTCATTCCAGTGAAAATGACATGACAGTGTAAATAATGGGTATGTTTTGAAACTAACTTGCAAAGATGAGATGAAAAGTTCCATGAATTTCAAAGAGAAAACAAATTAAAAAGCTAATGAAAATTCTGAAGCATTCTGCATTCACGTGCACTTATAAAGCCATTATAGTCTTGCCTGGGAAAAAATACTATAGAATGGTATTTCAGATGTCAGATTACACTCAGCTCACATAAGCATTTTCAGAGATCACTTTTAGAAATTTTATTTTTTTAATGTAAGAATTGTAAAAGGCCAGGGATTAGATGCTCAATTTATATGGGCTAAAGAAGCTAGATTTCAAAAGCATTGTTTAGGAAATACCTCATCCAAATAACGCCACATGTTTTTCACAACTCATCCTAAAATTCTCTCCAACTTCTTTATGTTAATCCATAGTATTAACCATCTACTTACTAATCTATTTTTATTTTTTAGAGTATCTAACATCTTGCTTTTCTGCATATTTAATCAGTTACCATATCCTATTTATTTTCCTCTAAAATAACTCCCAAATTTAACCTTCCCTCTCTATTTGCACTCCCAATATAATCACCCTGAGTCTCATCATTCCACATCTGAGTTATTGCAACAGTCTGAAGAAGCCTAGAATCTGTATACACTCATATCTTCTGTCACAAAGCGCTGGATAATCTTTCCTAAATACTAGTTTGACCAGAATATTTACTTGCTTCAGAATCTACCCCTAAAACCTATATGGATCAGATCAAGACAGTATTTCAGCCTGGTGTTCAAGACTTCCATTACTGGAAACCCCTCTTCTCATGCATTTGCTCACTGCCTAGCCCCTCTCATTGACTTGTGTTTGCATCATACCTGTCACTGCAATCAGGCTATTTGACTTATTTTTTACTCCTAAGTTGCTGTTCTTGCTATTTCCTTTCTGGACATCTAGAAACCACCACATACTTGTAAAGAACGATCTGTTTAGAAAAGAATAAGACTTTTATCATCACTGCATTTGTCTTGTACAACCCTGGTCCCATGAGGAGCAGACCAGAGCGAATGTAATCTTAGCACTCAGTGAATAAGCACAAAGTTCAACACAGAAATTCATTGAAAGAAAAAGTACTATGACCAAAATGATTTGTGCAAGAAAAGCTTCCTTTAATTTTTCAATTTGCTTTTAATTTAGACAATAGGAAATGGGCTTTGATATGAATCGTAAAAGCTATTGTTTCTTGAAGAAGTTAGGCAAAATTCGAGAGGCTGAGGCAAAGGTATTTTGTAGAGATAAAAGAATTGTTTAAAAAATGTACTCTATGTTGCTCTCTACAATCACTTCACATTAATATGGGGTCTTATAGCTTATGAAGTATCTTTGTGGATATTTTATCACTTATTTCTCACACCAATCATGTGAAGTAAATGTCATTATTCCTTTTTTACAAATGAGAAAAATGAGGCTCAGAGATTTTCAAAGTCTTGCTGGAAATCACACAGGGAGAGCAGAACCTCAGCCCAAGGTTCAAGTTTCTCTTCACCATTCTACCCCTGATTACCTTTTAAAAACAACCATTTGCCATATTCATCTTGTACAGATTACCATGACATCAAAGATGTTATATAAATGATAACTTTTTTTTTCAATAAGTGAATTTATTTTAAGTATGTACTATGTGAGATATATAAGCATGTATCTCTATGTGTCTATTCTGTGGATATGGTAAAATGAAATTAATTGTACAATGTTTCAACTAGTGTGGGTCTTAAGAACTTTATTTCCAAGCAGTACTGCTCAAACCATGTGGGTTTATCTTCCAAATGAGGAAAATGAAGATTATCTCTTTCAGCTTTGACATTCTGGAACGCTATAATTTTCTTTTCTAAGAAAAAATGAGCTTGGTCATATAATAACTGTCATCCCTCAATTCATATACTTACGTATATAACTCAACAACTAATACAGTATGGTCATAAAGCCTTTGTGAGGAAGAAATAGAAGTATGTAAAAAGACTATGTTACTTTAACTATAAAAATATAATTTTGTAAGTATATTTGAAGATATTTGAAGATTGTATTTCAAGAATAGAATAATTTGAAGATTCTTTTCTTTCATACTGTGTGCCTCAGAGTATCTTATGAATCTTGAACTAACAAATATATTAAGATTAATAATAAAGCTACAATTAACTTGAAATTGGCAAACATCCACCATGATATTAGACTATCAAAACCAGTCAAGATTCACAAGGCAGAATATTCTCTAACTTACTTTTAAATAGGTTTTTGGAAAGTGCAGTTGCATGAATTTCGTGAGGGCCTCCATGCTAACTTTGGTATTCTTCACATGAACCTTGACAGTAAATCCTCGTCCAAACCTAGAAAGAAAAAGTGCAAACTACTATGTGAGTGACATTTTGCTGAAATAGCTCCCCTGGAATTCTAGATAATGAAACAGGACCCCAGCTGACCATTACAGCCCCTTTTCTTATATAAAGACGGTCATTTTGCCATAAAAGTTCAAGGCATGTTGCAAACTGGAAATGGTACACTGCCACAATTTTAAAAAATTTATTTCTACCACTATACAAAGTCAGACTCTTCGGGAAAAAGCTGCATTAGAAAGAAAATATAAATCTTGGCTTTCTTTGACATCCATGAATTGGTAATTGATGTCAATTTCTGAGGTTAAATACTTTCTAATTTAAAGTAAACAAAGTCTTGAGAGTCAAGTCATTGGAGATTTGGTGTCAACAGCAAAGATTAACATCACTGAGGCTTTAAAAACAGATAAAAAATAGATATACTAACTAACTGTTGGCACCAAGAACAGAATTTGTAAACAAGTCACAAAAGACTCTCTGAGAACAACTTATAAGGCCCCTTCCATCCTTTTTTCTTATCTTGGTTAATGTGATCTTATAAGAAAACCAGCTTATTGTACAGATAAAGGTATAACATCATGAAAGTATAGAGTGTGGAGATTAACATGGATAGATATACACATATATGTGCTCTGGCAAGTATAAAATATTAATTTAATTTTAATTTATTAGTATGATATTTATGCACATTTCCCCACTGTATTCTTCACTAAAAGGTTTTGAATGTGGTAAAAATGTTAAATAGCTACTGAAGCCCTGTGCAAATGGCAAAGGAACATGCTAGATAAAAATCCATGGCTTCATGTACCTGTCAAGGTCTAATTTGCTATTAAAACTCTTGAAACTGCTTCCTGAGGGTGTTTTGGTGTGGATTAATTTTTTAAAAGATTTTAGGGCTTGTAGGTTTGGGGGTTATTAACTAAAAATACATCTAACATTTACTAACATATTTTAACTTTAAGATGAGTCAATAATTAACTTCTCCATATCAGTTTTACTACTAATTGATGCACAGCCTCCTGATATAAACCTAGAAGGTGAGAATAGTACCATTAGATCGATTATCCTACATCATATGTTGAACAACACATTTGTTCTTCACCTGCTCTTTATGTGCTGCAAAGATCCAATACACTGAAACCTTCCATTCACCATAATGGCCAGCCTGGTACAGAGAGCTTCACATTCTTCCATGCTGAAAAATAGCAGAATCACATCAGAGTTCTGGGCACAAAAAACTGGGTGCAAGTTCACAAACATAAGCTTAACTGTTTCATTATGGCACCTTAAAAATACTGTTTTAGTTCCTTAAAATGGCTTTTCCCTTGAAGAAGAAAAAAAGTTTAAAGATAAGTTATATGTCTTCACATGGGATTTTTTACTGTTTATTCTCAAACTTGGGCCTATCTCTCTCACCAGGAGTGCCTTCTCTATCTAACACATTATTTCTTTCAAACTCTTTCAAGCTTTGACGAAAGGCCTGTGTTTCCCAAGGAATGTTCCCAAAATGACATTGAGCTTTTTTTCATTATGCTTTGTACTACCTGTTCAGTTGGCTTTTATGCATTTGTATTTATAACTAGTTAACCTGTACCTGATTATATAATTACTAATTTCATGGACTATAATAACTAGAGCAGATTTTCAGTATCACCCTGTCCATTTCATATCAAAGTTCATGGAAATTAAATGATTGGCTCCAAAAGATAGAGTATACTGGGGCAAGGCCAGGATACAAACAAGTCTCTTGATCATAAACAAATCTAGTACTTTTTCTACTATATGATAATTATAGCAAAAGGGTGAACTTAATACTCTTTTGCCAACCTTATAAGAAAGGCAGATAAAATGTTTTAGCAGCTGTTTTTACTTAACTGGTCTGAAGGGTCTACCTTCAAGAAGGAGACCTGTGAGCTGGTTCTTAAAAAATTGTGAAAAGACTATTTCCAATGGAAAGCACAGCCAAAGAAAGGATATGGTGACAGGAAAGGTCAACGAGTGTATGTGGAAGCACAAATCATTAAGATTGACTGATAGAAGATGGTGTCATAGGAAAAGAAGGCTAGCAATTTAGATGAGGTCAGATAATAAAAGGCTTTGCGCAGTAAGCTAAAAGATGCTGAACTTTATGTGATAGGCAATAGGGAGTCATACTTGAGCTAAGGAGTTCTAAATCATAAGAAATTTGTTTTTAGAAAGATTGCTTAGACCCCGTCCCACCTCAGGAGCTGGATTCTCACCATGAAACCTGCCTCAGTTGCTTCAAAGAATATAAACAGAAAATGCTTCCAACTCATTGTGGACATTTATTATTGATATATATTACATGGATTATCTGTTCCCATCTATCACCCTAAAATCATGTCATTTGACCTCAAACTCCCTGCATGCAGTTACCTGTGAGATGTGAGGATGACGGAACATTTATTTTGTACTTCTTCTGAAATGATCTTCCAGAGGTGCCTTTTTGACTTAGGATCCATCCCAGAGCTTGGCTCATCCTTAATAGAAAGTTACAAAAAAAAAAAAATATATAATATATATATATATATATATGTATATCAAATTAATTAATTTTTCATGAGGTTTTTACTTGAATCACTATATCTCACTTGCCTAGAACAGAAATCACTTTACAAAGTCTTGTGACTAACTTGTTTTATACTTAATAGGCTCCTTTCTGCTGCTGTCAAAAAGCTCAAAATTAATCATTTAAAATTGTCAATCTATTTTAAAAAGTATCTCATTGAAGTTGACATCCTGTTACTTTACACTTGTCTCATATTTCTTTGGAAAAAAATCTGCTTCAATTACTGACAAAGCAGAGTTTTTACATTTAATACTACATTGTCACTTGTATTTGAAGCAACAGCAACAAGATTGCTGCCTTGCTCCTAATAGTAGAATTGTGTCTGTGAGTGATAATATGCTATGTGAAGTGGAAAGAACGCAATTTGATTTTTCAGTAATATGTTTGAGGTGTATTTTTAGTTTTATGTTCTTAATTGAAATTTAATACTCCTTGGGGAAATAACCATAAGCTTTGCAGAAACTGCCAAGTAAAAAGATATAAATTATATTTTAAAAGTAAATGATATTTCAAAAAATTGTTCAAACATAAAATTAGAAATATAGGAATGGATAACCTAAGCAAACAATAATAGGGCCTGACAGATGATTAAAGAAGATTAGAAAAAAACTAAAAATAGAATCTTTAATGGAAAAAAAAAGTGGGTACATGGGATCACCAGAGGCTTGTTTTTATAGTGAGGGATTAAATTTAAATGTAAAGAAAGGAATGAGTATTAGTTTAGGGGAACAGTGAAGAGTGCATTGTCTGATTTGTGAAGACAATAGTATTTATAGTAAATGCACATAGAAGACACTATGGTGTCTTTCTCTCATAGCCTGTACTTCAGTTAGACTCATTAATACATAACACTTGCATAGTGCTTTCAACTTTTTGAAGTACTTTATGTCTATCATCTCACAGGAGCCTAAGTATTGTTTCGTTCAATTTAAGCGACACTTACACAATAGAATTCCATTATAAGCATCGATTGGCAGGAATATAATGCATTATAAGTTTCTGATATTACAGAAAGACGGGCTGTGCATCACTCTGTCTGGGCAGTTTACATGAATTGATCCTCTGTATGACTTAATCCCTAGTATAATGTGATTTATAAGTGGATTTTCATTACATATAGTCAAGGCTTTTTTCTTTTTTTTCTTTTTTATTTGAGTTTGGAGATTCTGAAATGAAGGAGATCTTGCAAAATAAGGGCAAACTTATTTCTGTGAAATAAACACCTTTTACAGTATTTGGTTTGTGGAGCAGAATGCTATGTTACTCCTGTGTGTAATTTACATTTCCAGGTGATTGACTTAATTTTCCAGTTCTTAGGAAAGTATAAATCTTGAATGCATATTTTGCCTTCAAAAAATCCAGAAAAAATAGAATGTTATCTATCACATCCCAGGCTAGGTAACTCATATTTTTAAGTAACAAGGAAATAAATTTTTTAGCACAACACATTGTCTTAAAATGTATCTTTCCTTCTTTCTAGAAGTTTAAACGTATGTTAGTTCACCTGATCAGTTACTAATAGAACCAATTTCTTCAATAACTGAGAATCAAATTCCCCCATATTCCATAATTTTACTTACTCATTTATATACCCTGAATATGTTCCAGCTACTTCCCATTCCCACGCCAAGTGTTTCCTCTGAGAGCAACTGTAACACAGCTGCAGACAAAAACATTTTTGAGGATGTACTGTTGTGGCAACAAATTATATGCTGATATAAATTCCCTGAATGAGATAGCGTAGGTAAAGTGTTTTGCAAAATAACCAGCATATAATGAGCCCTCCATGAATGTTTATTTCAATAAAGAGAGTGAAATGTTACACACACAATTGGATGTGTGGTTCTAATTATGTAGTAGCCTTTTTCACAATGACTCTCTTACCAGCAGTAGAATGGAAGGTTTCCCAATCAAGGCCAGTGCAGTGGATAATTTTCTTTTTGTGCCATAACTGCACATCGAGGTAGCTCTGTCCTTGTAGGGCATCAAGTGAAGTCTCCGTAGGAGTTTATGAACAGTCTGTGGGCAGAAAAGAGGAGTTAGGTTGACCTCCTGCTAAAATCCTTAATGCACTAATCAGAAAAAAACTGTGAAAAGAAAGTTCTATAACGAAGACATACATACCTGAAAAATTCAGACATTTAAACTTAATATAGATTTTATTTTTATTTTCAAAAGTCTACTTAAAAATTAATAATCATTAAAGAGATAAAAACAATTCCATGGAGGCTCATTTTCAAGTGGAATTCCCTCCTCCCCAAGTGTGTGTGTGTGTGTGTGTGTGTGTGTGTGTGTGTGTGTGTGTGGTTATGATTCCAAATTGTTCTTTCTGCTACAGAAAGCCCTTTATAAACTTAAAAATGGTAAAACAGAAATTGGCCCTTCTTAAGGCAGTTTTCTTGTTAACTGTCATCACTATTTCATCTTTCTTCTTACTGAAGAGTGAGTTGTCACAAACTCTTTAAGTCTTTAAAAAACTGACCCACTATCAAACTTTAGCATATTAACTGAGGAATCATAGATGCTTGTGGCTATTTCTACAGTTAAATGGTGGAATCCTAAGAAGATTTTGACAGATCCCTGGTGTTGCAAAAATAGAGGAAATCACCCCAAAGGTTAGCCATTCCATTACAAAGGAAAATAATTGTAGCGGAGTACAAAACCACATAAAAATCAAATTGGAAGCTATTCTATGTTATTAGGGCATTTCGTAGGTAATTCCATGTTTTAATATTTATCTGGACACTAAAGGATGTACAGGCATCATCAACCATAGCTCAACCCAGAGCCAAGGCAAGTGTGATCTTTTATTTGATAGTTCTTAAAAGGTAACTGAATGATCACTAAACCATGGAGCTTCTAAATCTGAGTTAAAAAATAAATAAATAAATCTGAGTTCACAGGTGTGTATGTGATATACACGATCAACCCAATACTATATCCATTATCATTATCAGGTGGAAAATGTCATAGCTTTCTAGATGTCATTTTGGTCTTGAAGGTAGATGGGTAGGAAGCAGAAGCAACGTTCTTTTTTTTTTTTTTTCGGTTACAATTGACATTCAATATTATGTTATATTAGTTTCAGGTACACAGCATAGTGGTTAGACATTTATATAATTTACAAAGTGATCCCTCTGACTACTCTAGTACCCATCTGGCACCATACATAATTCTTACAATATTATTGACTATGTTTCCTATGCTGTACTTTACAACCCCATGACTATTTTGTAATTATAAATTTGTACTTTTTAATCCCTTCACCTTTTTTTATTCAATAATTATTTTGAAATGAACTAGGTTTTCCAAACTTATACTCACTTCTTTAATATCTTTTTCTGGAATTCCATGTATCCTGGCATAGAAATACAGATGTTCTTCCACAGTCACCAGATCATCTAAGGCATCTTCCTGAGGGCAGTAGCCAACTAATGAGCTATGAGAGTCAACATGAGCCAGCGATCTGAATTGAGAGAATCAAAAACACACATGAGTTTCAAAAGATATTTCCCTCCTAGAGTCCAAATTTTGGGAAAGTAGCTCTATTTTTCTGGTCATGGTGAAGGGTGATTCTGATAAAAACAATAAAATAATCCCACCATCAAAGTTACACTTTAAGGTTTAAAAAATTCTACTAAGGATTTATTAATATAACTACAAAATAACATAAAGAGTTCATTTTAATTATTTTTCTCATTCAATTATGTTGTGCTTAGTAAGTTGAAGCATTCATTTTTTTTTATACCCAGTCTTATTTCTGATGAGAATGTTTCCACTTGAAGGAATTATGTCTCCAGTCAGCATCTTGAAAATTGTGGTCTTTCCTGCTCCATTCACCCCAAGAAGGCCAAAGCACTGGTGTGGGGGAGAAAAAAAGATGTAAATCTTAACCAAATCAAAGACATGTTACTATTGTATCTCTTTCCTTCTTCTTGGGTGAAATAAATTACTCTAAAAAATAAATCACTGGAATTATTATTCATGGGTATGCATTCTTTTGGCATTTGATAAAACTTTCTCTTTTAAAACTAACGGGTACTTATGTATCTTTTCTTCCTTTAACAACATCTGAATGAACATTTGTGTGTCTGTGTGCATATATATATATGTACATATATATATATATCGCTTGTTTTATATATATTATAGGATTCCTCTGCATGACATGACAAAATACCCAAGTAAGATATACTAACCTGACGAAGTAATTATATTTATAGATTTCACATTATTCATACAAACTTTAATCACAAGTTTACTGAATAAGCTACTGAATCAATAATTTCTATATGCTGTTGAATAAATTTGATGCTCTTTACTTTGCAGCTCTGCTCGGAATATTAAAGGAAATGCCCACATTCCCTCTCTCTTTTCAAAACTGCCTTAATATTGCTTCTGTGAAAACGGCAAAAATAAATATGGACGCAGTCTAGGACCTCACTATGATAACTGATTTCTTTACATTGTTTTTCTAAGAGGCTTGGAAACTAAAAGTTGAAGAGAGCCCCTGTACAGGCTTCTTGACTAGAAGTCCACCCCAAGGAGGACAGTAGCCTGGGAAGGGGACAGAGACTCAGTTTGTGGTGGATATTCCCTGCCAGAAGAGAAGACCTATAGGGTGGGTAACATATGGACACTTGTAAGTTTTATATATAGAATCTATCAAAATATTCAGAGGTTGGCTTTCATATTTCTAGAAAAAAAATTAAAGAAAGAAAAAGATTTTTATTCATTAGTTATCATGCCCAAATTAAGGACAATTAGAAACTAAACATTGTTCCTTACCTCCCCCGCAGGTATCCCAATGCTGATGTTGTTTACAGCTATAATCTTTTTGTGGATAAGTTGGTAGGTCTTTGTGAGACGATGGAGTTGGACCAGGTCAAATTCATCTGCACCATTCTCAACTCTTAATCTCTCAGCCCGCACATCTTCATCTTCATCTATTGTCTCAATTACAGGTGAAGAATTAAATTTTCTGAAGAAGAGTCTAAAAAATGGATCCAATGATTTTGCATCAATGATTTTGAAATGGCCCCACTCAATTTTGACATGTTTTAATGGGTTGTCACTTTATTAAAAATGTGCTGTCACAATACGAGATTTGTTTTAACTTTGTTATGCATTATGCTACTTAAATAACTTAAAAAGTAGTATGAATTCTCTTCACCATATTTGCTTTGATATTTGGAAAATGGCTTTTGCTTTCTATGCTTACATGCTTATAGATTCACTGTTACAATTCAGATTCCTAACTTTAGTAACACGGAGGTCAGTGGGTTTGCGAGTTACTTTCTACCAGAACCAGAGCTACTGATAAGACTCACACTTACAACTCTATAATCAGTGATGACCGTTTTTTTTTTAATTCTCTCTTTTTCTTATATCATCAATAATATGAATGTTATTCTATATTTTTTTTTACTGTGAATGTCTTACCTAGCATCTACCCAATATATTAAGATTATAAACCCCGAAAACTCACTAAGTCTCAAACCCACTTCAGTATTTTGCCTAATGAATAAATATCAAAGTATACCAAACCAACCCAAATTTAAAAACCCTACAAGTCAAGTCTTCCTTCCAATGTTCTTCTCTCTCTTAATGATATCCTCAAAATTCCAACTGTGATGTTTTCTTTGAATTTTCCCATTCCCAAATCCACTCATACAGTCAGTCTGCTAGCCTTGGAAAAGCTTAATATTATCTAGTCATTGTCATCGATCATTTTCTGTCTATTTCTATTACTATCACAAGCTTTCACTCTTTCTCACCTAGATTTCTCCAGGAACCTCAAACTGCTGCAGGGTCTTTGACTCTTCCATTCCCATCTGCACTAGCTCCATAAAATCACACCTCCTGAAGCACCATGTGATCACATTACTCTCTGTTCAGAAACCTTTAGTGCACTACTATTTGTTGAAAAAGGTCCAAATCATATCTCTTTAACCAAGGATTCAATAAACTCCATAATCTCCCAACCGCATACTTCAGCTTCTACTATTTATTTCATTACATTTATTCTATGTTCTCAAATCATGTCCCAAATATGTACTCATTTCTCAAATATGTCCCAAGATTTTTTTCTTTCTCTTTGCTCTTGTTGTTCTTTTTATTAAGTTTTATTTTCGATAGGCAATACATATGTATCATATATTAAAATTAAAATGGTACTGTAGAATATATAGTGAAAAGTAAGTTTCCTATAGCCATATATCATTTTCTTCAGCAGAGGCACACATAACTAGAGATAGTCCATGCATGTGTATGCATAAATAACATATATTTCTTTCTAACTCAAATGGTAATATACTTTACACACAGTTCTAAACCTTCCATTTTTCATTTAATAAATGTTAGAAGTAATCTCAAATATTATATAGAGAACTGTATCATTTTGTTTAATGGCTGTGTACTATTTAATTTAGGAATATATGTATACAATTCATTTAACCAGTTTCTAAATGAAGGCCATTTAGATTGTTTTCATTCTTTTGCTATTAGAAAATGGTTGCTATGATGAATCATTTTATACATATGTAATTCTGCATATTTGTGAACATATCTATAGAAAAGAAATTCCTAGAAATCGAATTGCTGGGTCAATGGTGGTTGTTTTTCTTTTTCTTTATGATTCTGTCCTTACTTTTTTATTTTCTTTTCCCAAATCCATTGTTAATGTGCTAATCCTCAATCTTCTTTCCCCATTTCTATTTTCTATTCTTCCAAACTCAAACTCAATGTAAACAAAGACTCCATCTCTTGTTTATGTAAATATTTTCTCTCTACCACTGAATCTTAATCTCTTTAAGACTCATGGCTCTGCTTACTTTTAATCTCCAGTCTACAGCAATACTTGCAGACACATAGTGAAGTTTGACAACTATTTACTGGGTGAAAAAAATGGTGAATTATGTTACAATTAAAAAAATTTTTTTTTGAGTAAAACATTTCCATACTAATGGAAAATCTTCAACTATTGACCCCTCACTAAGTATTTTTAATTGAATTCCATCAAGGATGTCAAACACTATGTTTTCATTGTTTTTTAATTTTTTTTTTACCTGAATTTCTTTATTAGCCACTCGTTGATTAAGAGTCGCAAGAGAAAGAACATGGTGCCTTGAGAAACCAAAGCCACAAACATTGCACCTAGTTTATCCATCTCAAAGGTTTCACTTGGGTATTCCACACCGTATGCTTTTAAGAAGTCCAGGACTGACTGTTGTTGAGAAAGTTCAATCAAACCATAGCCAAAACAGAATTGTGGGAAAATCAGGAAAATACGCTTGAGGGTTTCCGAAATAAGTTCTAAAGTCTGAAATAAAGAAATAAAAAATAGAGCTCAGTGTTAAACTTTCAATAATTGACAAAAATTTAATGTAGAGAAATATTGGAACCTGTGAATCTTGTCTAGGTTGGCAATTATTTCACACGTATGCTGGATTTACATATAAATATTTACCCTAACCAAAAGGTAGAGATTTATTACTAAGATATTTTTCTTGAGATGATCTAAGGTGTCAGGCCAACCCTTGAAGGCAGAATCACTCCTACACCTGCCTTAGATCCAAGGAATGTGGGAATAGCATGCATGCTGGGGTGTGATGTTGGGTGTTGGTAAGCGCCTGACTAAAGAAGGAACTTAGTATATTTTCAAAACCTAATGTAATTTCTACTTGAAGAGGGACTAAAATCGTGAAATGAGATAGAAGGAGAAAGACAACCTCTTTTACTGAGAAGAAAATAACTCATTTTCATGTTATTCACACTTGGGGCCAACCACTTGCACCTCATGAATTTTCTTCTTCCTCCTGAGTGTGCTTGTTTTTTCCTCAGGTCACTTCGTTTCCTCTCTATTCTTTTCTATTCAATTGCCTGACAGTGTTAGTGCTTCCCTTCTCACTAATCATAATTGTCAGCTCTGAATGGAAAATGATACTTACAATGAAGTAGGCTCCAATTCATGATTAAAAAGGAATGAATTAGGTTTTTTCTCTATGAATGTTCAAATGAATCTTAACCCATAGACATATAACTAAGCCATTGTGCCTGTCACTACCATACTGTAACAATTTTTTAATGAGTAAAAAGTTTAGCTAAGTGGCTGCGTGATTTTCGTAGTGCCATACAATATATCTGATTTCATCTCTGTCACCCCACTCAAGCTCTATCATATGTCAATAGTTTTGAGGCTGGGGAAGTACAATCATAAGAATTAACCTATGTGGAGCCTAAAAAGAATTTTAAAAGGTTATAGTTTCACCTCTACTGAATTTAATAGAATCTAATACAATTCTTCTCTTCTATTTAAAGAATGCAAAATACAGAAAAAGTTTCCACCTTGAGTATGTTGAAGCATTTGATATATTCACTGAAGTTTAGCAGACCAATAAAGGACCTTACCGGATCATTCGGCTTTTCCTTGGAAAGAAAGTATACTACCGACAAGGAAACAATGGAATTGATGCCAAAAAAAAGGTTGATGCAGACGTAAGTGATGAAAGCCATTCCAGTTTCATGGAAGAGCCCAGCCAGCAAGTACATCCAAGAAAATGTGGCATACCTGTATGTTAATAATACTAAGGATTAAAATTATGCCTAATTATTTTCCTTTATTAAATACATACATACATATATACATATATGTATACATACACAAATACATACTTAGATGGGACTCCAAAATAAAAATAAACACTAGAGATGAGTTGCCAAGCCCTAGAGTTTGATCTCTTGTTTATTCTATTCTCTTTAACAACAGCAGCTACAACAACAAAAATTCACAAGATGTGTTTAAAAATAACAATTAGAAGCCCCTCTTTTAAGGAATCTTGAACAGTCTTACATCATGACAACTTCAAATTAATTCCTCCTAGAGTTGGTGTT